AATGACTAAGGATCCCAACAGTGGTAACAAAACAACAATGCGAATCCAGCACTCAAGCCACAACACAGCTGCGCTATCAACATGTATGACTTATTTCAGGGAATCCTGGAATGAAACAGGGAAAACAACACTCAATGCAGCACCAAGATACCTCAAACATCAGAAATATCTTGAAGAGACGTTCTGAAAACTTATTTCAGGCTCTGACCTGAAAGATTCCTTCCAATAAAGCAACTGCATAAGTCAGAATTCCTCTGTATCTGCAAGTTTTATGTTGACTTCTTAAGCGTCATTTCCAACTTTTAAGTATTTCTGGCTAACAGTAAAAGAAGCGAGGCAAAGAAGATGGTTTATCGTGAAGGCTGAACTATTGTGGCAAGGGAATCCTTCATTCAGCAACAGGTTACCTTATCCCCCATCTTGGTATTTACACTGCAACTGTGATTTGCAGTTACAGGACAGCAATATCAGTCAGTTCTGCCGGATCTGCACCAGCCATCCACATGAAAAAGCACCTCTAAAGTTTAGAGACTTGCTAACTGAGGCCAAGCAAGGTGACAGTCACGCACTGGAGGACATGCCAAGCTGCCAAGAGCTCCTGAAGGGATGCTTTTCCAAGGGATGTTCTCCTAAAGGATACTTTTTGGTTCTCCTGCCAGTAGTATCCTTGTCATATCCCCACACTGCAGGGAGACCTTCTTATACCAAACCCACCTCCTAAGGCCACCCAGAAGGCCACCCAGCCGAGCATCCTGCCTCCAGCAACAAGGCGAGCAGGGAGCAGAACAAGGCAAGCACATACAGAGACCTCCCCACATGCGTGTCCAATTCCCTGCCATTCCCGGGTCAGGGATTTCCCAAAACGGGTAGAGCTCCTATGCTCTTAAGTGCACTCCATGGGTCATGTCACTCTCACCTCCGTTCCCACCCTGCAGCAGGGCTGACTGGGGGAAGTGCAGCCAAGGGTTGATTAGAGAACCTCTCATGTGCTCTGCAACTGCCCTAAGCTCTATTTTAAACTCGTGGCATCCACAGGAGCTGCAGGCTCTCACAAAAGAGACGCACATTGACTTTAAGACTGAAGTACTGGGGAACTCAAATCTCCAGGGTCAGTTCCCCCTTTCCTCTCTTTTTAAGGAATTCTGCACCTTGTTTCTAGTCAAACTTCCAGGAATACCAAAGGAGGGGAAAATAACTATACAAACTAATTCTACACAGGGGGACATTAAGTTAAATAAATACTATGTTGAAAACACAGTACAGAATGAACCTCATTTAAAATAAGAGCATGCAAGCAATGATTATACATCGTGACTTTGCAAAGTGCAAAATATATTTCAAAAGCTTTCCTTAAAATCTATTTATAAAATACCTCCCCGCTCATCCACTGCCTTAATTTTACTTTGGAGCTATCCTCGTCTTCTGCATTTGTCCTATGTTACATATAAACAAAATAAAAAACACGATCTGTTCAAATGGAGGGAAGAGGAGAAAAGTGTTCAAAGATCTTCACTCTTGAAGCAAATTTAATTTTAAATACAGCCGCTGCAGTTTTAAAAAGCATAGAGCAACACTACATTTGATATATTTTGCAGAG